GGACTTGATGTGAAAGTTCTGATCAAAAATAACACCAAGAGTTTTTACTTTATTATCTGAGATGATTTAATCCCAATCAACTGAGAATCGGCCCCAGCACTGATGGAAAGCATCCTGTGGCTTCCTGTTAGCAGAGAGAATATTTCATGTTGGGGTTGGAGTCACTGATGCTGCTGTTTGTACCTAATGCTAATGGCTAATGGAGTTGGGTTTTTCTGCAGTGGTGCAGACTGTTAATGCGCACAGTCACCACTTTAACACGTCTTGGATTTGCACATGGCCGCCTAAAATTAGCAGAGGTTTGCATCGAGCCTCATCATTGGTATGAAATCCATTTTTAGAAAGCAGGAGGGGCTTTTTGTTTGTGTTCTTCTGGTGCCTCTTTTGGCCGATGATCATCTCTTTTCTTTGTTCATTTCAAAGTGGTTCTTGTTGCGAATGATCTTCGCTGAGGTCAGGGAGCGTCGGTGAGCTCAGAAAAACTCCGATCATTGAGAAGATCTGTGGCCAGCACCATTAAAAGCAGCCATAGTTCTCATTAATGTAAAGCTTTCACAGAGCTTAATTACTTAAAATCATTTCCTATTCTTCAGTATTGTCCTTCAGGAAAGTACTGAAGAATAAGAAGTAATTAAAAAAGGCTGCCTGGCCTTTGAAATACGCTTAAAATAAAATTGCATTGTGGAATTTTAAAGAACTTAAAAATAAAAGGTTAAAAAAACATTGTAGTGGGAAAAAAATATTCAAATATTCACCCCAGTTAAATTAAAGGAGGTCGATGGATTTCATTCAGTCGGCACTTTTATTCATATCTTTGCAAAGAGAGAACAGCTGATCAGCGTTCTGCTCTGTTCTGACTGGACAGAGTTTGTCTCTCTTACTGATGTTGATGAAGAACTGTGAAGGTTGTCAGACTCTAAACAAATCAGACACTTTAACAAACCTTCAGAAACTATTTGTCTTGTCGTTGGAATAAGTAAACCATCCGTCACTCAGACATTTTTCAGCTTTGCAGGTTAAACAAACTGATTAAAACCATTTTCACTGGATAAATAGCATCACTAAATAAATGAAACGAGAGAAATCTACATTTTCTGACCACACCATGATTACACAATCAATTAAGGCAAGATAAATAACCCCTTGATTTTTAAACATTAAAATTTTCATTTAGCTTCATATATCGATTATACAGAAAGCGGTGAATGTCGGAGGTGTGTGAGAACATTTTACAGGAGGAAACAAGATGGTAGGTAAAAAAAAACTAACTAAAATCTCTTCAGTTTGTCAGAAACATTTTTAGTTTTGGGGATCTTCCATCAAAGGTCACCTGATGTGTTTCCTAGCAGCTGATTGGCTGCAGGGTGGAGCCTTTTCTAGGATTCAGATCCATCCTGAAAGCTAGCCTGTTCCGCAGCAGGTTAGCTGTTCACAGTGCGTTACCATGGTAACCAGCTTCGCTGTGAATCCAGCTGCCTGGTACTGGAGGGTCAGGATGATGATGATGATGATGATGGTAGCCGGACCAACACTTCTTTTCTCATTATTGCAGCACCATATGTGGTGGGTCACGCACCGCGGCAGACAGTAGAGGGCGCTCTCTTCCACATCCTGACAGCTGCAGCTAAATCACTGCAGTGTTTAGCTTCCAGGCTCTTCATAGAACATAAATGGTCTTGGTCTGAGTACCGGGTTAGTTTAACAACTCAGTAGTTGGCAGTGGAACCGGTCCTGATGCGGTTTTTGGTGCATCCTTTGGGGGGAAGGCTGCTGCTGCTTTTCCTTCCTGTTCTTTAAATGCCTCTTTGTTTGTGTTGGTTCTCATCGCTCCAGTTTTCATGAGGTCCAGAAGTTCCACACCCAGATCCTGAGAGTGAAGGACCGAGATGACTTCCCCATGGTGCTGGTTGGAAACAAAGCGGACTTGGAGCAGCAGAGAGTGGTAAGACTTCCTGTGTCTCACTGATGTCGTCCGTTCTCAGTCTGTCCCTGAAGGACATCAGTTTGTCCATAATATTGCTTCCTGGTTCTGTTGGACCCCCAGAGAATTCAATTCCATTCTATTCAGTTTATTTCTATGGCTCCAATTCACATCATGTCATC